TAACTGACCTTTTATAATATATTATATCGATATACTAACGCTGAAAAACTATATTAATACGTAATGTAAACGAGGATAATCAATCAATATTTTAAAAGTTATAGAATCAATACAGCAGCCAGCATGACATTAAGGTATATTGTACGAATTTCGTCGACGAGAAATACAAACATCTGAAATGTAATCGATTGCTATGTTTTTTCAAACAGTTGCACTATCAATTTTATGATGTATCATAATACTATTATTATAATATTATTTATATTGTATGTGATGATTTCGATAACTGAGTTAATATAATGAATACTATCTATCTTAAACGAAATCGCTCGGTCTATGTGACAAGTGTTGTGTATAGGTTTAAATAATTACCGTATTAAAAAAAAAAATTTCCGATTACTCGTCTCATCACAATAATATTGTTTTAAAATATTTCTATAGAAGTGCATACTTAGTTATTTCATAAGATATCTACAAATATTTAACGCGTTCGTACAAAGAAATGTCACTTGACCACGAAATAAATATAGTTACAGAAAAAATTTAATACGACCGTCGTCTAGACTATTATATAATCGTATTGTTATTATTTTATTTCTAATTATTACACCAATGCAAGTTTATTGGTGCATTTATTAATTTAAATACATACCCTGCACTCATTTGTTTTACATTTTTCACAGAACTCTATAGATGTATAGATTAAACAAGATCCAGGCGTTGTTTGCATTCAAATGCAGCACACTTTTGCCCTGAACCAATATAATAATATAATATTATAATGTATGTGTTGAGATTTTACTTAATTTTGAATTTCCTAATTCCTCGATACTCGGTATTAACATGATAAATTATGAGTATTTATGACTATGGTTTCAAAACGTTTTAAGTTGTTGAGAAAACGTTATTAATAATACTTCACTAGAAGAACGCTAAAGAAAAATCGAAACACATGTTCAAATTGCATTTAAATAACTGCATTGAACGTATAATATTTTCATAGTTATACCCATTATAAAAGTGTTTTACTTTGGTAAAAATAACAGTGGAAAAAATATGTTTGATAGAAAAATATGATCTGGAAAAAAAACTTCACTGAATGCGTTAACTGTTGGCACAGCTATGTCAGTAATCATAGTAGTAATATTATTTTTGGGACAAGTAATGGATTATATTTAGAATTCAAATTACGTTTAAAACAATATTTTTTTTAACGATTATGTGGTTTGAAAAAAAAATTGTTTGGAATTAATGCCGTAAAATAGAGAAAAATTAAAATAGATATATTTTAGAACACATAAGGTATTAAATTATTTTTTTTTCACAGTCCAGTTATTTATCTTTTCTATACTTCCATCGCGTAGACATTATATTTTTTAACAATACGATGAATTAAATCGTAAATACTACATTTACCAGCCAACTTCTACTTAAGTATTTGTACTCAAGTATTTTACGAGTTCATAAAGTTTTATTATAATTGAAACCAAAGTCTCATTAGCTCGTTTCACTTCACAAATATTATAACATCTTATAGTTGAAGATAATTTTCATTTCTATGTCCCACAGCTAAAAATCATGACTATAACGTAATCGTACAATCGTAATATTATATAATTTGTATGTACAATTTACGCGTATGCTTAGACAGTTAAAAGAAAATGTGGACTTTATTCTTCTTCGTTTTCTTGTCGAAAAAGTTTGTTAATAATCAGCCAATCAGTTCATATGGTAACGTATTATTTGCGATTAATTTTTGTTTATTTGTACGAATCATTTTATGAATAATACTTTTAAATTATATCCGTAGGGTATTACGATGTGTTAGTTTTTCGAATTTTCGGACAGTTTACGTTTTTCGCAGTACCGTTTAAAAACCGCCGGGTAACAACGTTTAACACGTCCATTCGTGTTTTTTAGCTCGTTTTAACGATTTAGCGCCCGCGGGCAGCACTTACGAAATCAAATAGACGTTGTTATACTGTTATATATGTAACATAATGTGTCACACGTACTTGATACGTGTACCTACTGCGGACGCGCTTCACGGATATAGCACAATAACATTTTTATTAGCTATTACCGAATTATTACCGACGTGTACCTAATACAAACAAGCCGAATCTGATGGCCGGAGGGGGGAATAGGATAGAAGGACGGATGGTTTGCTTGGAGCATCAGCGGCAAGGTCGTTTTTATAATATACGTTTTGTGCACGCGCGTGTGTGTGTATATGTACAGGTACGATTCTCTCGCGAAAAACACGAAAAAACGCGATGCCGAATTTTGTTCGAATCGCTTCTCTTTTGATTCAACGATACATAAACAGTATACAATACTGCGAAAAATATATTTATTAAATATAATCATTGAACATTACCAATCTTTCGTTACATTTTTATAGGTCGCTCGTGCACGTGTCATTTCGCAACAGTGTTCGGAAGATCAGCGTTTTCGCGTCTCACACATTTCAGTGTTTTTTTTCACTTTCCGGTGCTCTGTTGTTCTCGTGTTTAAGGCCAACGACTGGTTTAGACTACATTCCTATCGATTCCCGAATAAATCTGATCCAAGTAATTTATAAACACGAGGATATGGCTAAATTTTTCGTCTTTATAAGCCTAATTATTATGCAACTCGGTAGGCAAGCGGTACATCATGGCGTATGATTGAGCATCGTTTACGTTCACCTCGGTTCTTTTGGTTTTCAATACTTTTAGAAATCTTTTATCTTTTCTAACACCTCAAAAATAACTTTGTCATCCTCGTTTCAATGCATAATTCTATTACACCATTACCAAAATGCACTGTAAGCGTATTTCTCACGTGTGTTGTAGATCCGTGTTTTACTTCGTAAGTCATCTCTAGTACACTCGTATTTCTTCTTCCTTTCTGTCGCATATACCACTCAGCCCTGAACGGTTGAGATGAAAGAAAATGAGATATCGCTTTACTCATCCATATTAAGTCAATATGTAGGTATGTATGTACGGTGGGGTTTAAAAAATCTTCTTACTGTTACGGATACATATATTTCTGTAGTTCCATCGACGTTAGATTTTTGCGTTTTACGTAAGATCAAACGAATACAATTATTACTTTCATCGCGATTCCAATTAATTATTTCAATCATAATGTACGTTGCACGTAAATATACTAGCTGAACTACTCGTGTTCGTTCAGGAATTGTTTTACGGTTTTAAGTTAGAGAAATCCTAGCAGAGAACTTCTTTTCTCATTCTTATCTTTCCTTGGTTATATATCTACCGACTCTAATCTTCTCCTATCATTCATTCTATTATTAATTTCATCAATTCCTCTGGCTTCCTTATTTATTCTATACTCAATAATTTTTAGTTAATTGTTAACTATCAATCTTTATGCTTAACTTATCTAATTGTATTACTGCAAAGGCAAAAAAAAAAAAAAAAAAATAGAGAAAACAAGCAATTAATATTTCGATGTAGACATGAATTTTGGGTTGAAAATTGTACCAATAGCATTTACTTTTATTCATCTATACTTGATTTATTTACGCATAATATATTAATAACAACATGAAATATTTCCTAAGCGACAAAAAAGAGAAAAAAATGTATGCATCCAGCTTAAACTGTTTCGATCATTAAAAATATGGTTTTCGAAAAGTCCTCTCTTATTGCACATACGCATTATATAATAAGTGCATTCCCTCGTCGCTTAAAATAAATCCATACGATGGTTTTGGCTGTACGCTGAGATTAGTGAACGATAGAAAGTGATGTTTGAATTATAAATATAACTTTATAAGATATAATTAAAAAAATGAGAATAATCAATGCAAATGTTCACTTGAGTTGGGTTTTCGCAATCTTCGAATTCGATTAAAAACACGTTTCGCTATGCAGTCCGTCGACGATTCGTAAGAAAACGAAATAAAAATCGGACGTTTATCGTTTTAAACTCGTCGTGACGATATTCCTAGGTTTTACATCTGTTACATATTATCTCATCGGACAGTCATGCACGGAGGTGGCCACCGGCTTCACTGGGGCGCGCAGTGTAATTGTCTTAAAACCGATGTCGGTATTAATTTATTTTATATTCCATTTTTTTTTTCGTATTAATGAAAATTAAAAATACGCTGACGGTGTCACGGCGTTCGAACGATACGGGTGAACGGCTAACGGGGAACGTGGGAGACCGAAACCGTACGAGTCGTGTACGTTCCCAAAGCCCTCCACGGAGATAAATTAAACGCATCGCGCCACTGTCGAAACGCACGTGTGGTCATCCCGGGGGTTTTTGGAAATCGCGATCGATTTCGTCCGGGGAAACTCCCATTAGCGATATATAACGATATAACGATCCCTATTATATTTTACACGTAAAAGTAATATATTTTTTTCGTTTTTGTTTTTTCGCATCGCTTTCAAATATACGTTTAGACATTTCGATTTATAAACTCGCTGTTAAAAGTTGTTGTATGAAATACAACAAATAGATGATATCAAAAACATGGGCAAGAAAAAGCAAAAAAAGCAAAAAAAAAAAATGACGAACGTACGATTTCAATTTTAGATTTTGGTTTTAGAAGCCACTTAGATCTTGATGCCTCTGTGCATTGTATTATCCTGTTCCCCCGCTAAATCTGGCATTGCGTACGATCGTATTTTGTACCTATAACGATCAGTGCATTTTATAAGGAATATTAAAAATTTTATTTTTAAAAATATAAAATTGTAAAAAAATGTTTTTGTCAAAATAGTCAATGTAATACCATAGTACGATTATAGTATTACACGTTTGTTTCGCATTATTTCACCCAATCTTTCAAAATATTGTCGACAGAGTATAATCACTCGACATTTCTGTCGCAGCCGATAACCCAATTCGCCGACACACCATTTTGCCGACACCCGATTTGCCGACATTATTTCATATTATAGTTACAAAATTAAATACACTTAAAATTAAAAATATATATTATTTTTTTATATTCTAAACTAAACTTCTAAATCTTATCTTCTGTTTTCAAGATGCAAATGGAACATGATTGCGTCCAAATATTCCATAATACAAATAGTACCATCTTGTAGCCTAAAATTGTATAAAAAATATATTATTATTTATTATTATTATTAAATCCAATTGTATAAATATTAAAAGCTATACCTTTCTTTTGCAAATGATAATATTTCCTCCAATTTTCTGTATTTAGTATTCATTTTTTGTGGCCGATTGAATTTTTTTTGCGCTATGATGTCAAGTTCGGAATTTTGTTGTTGGTTTTTTAGCTCTTTAATTAAAATAAAAATGTTTGGCTTTAATCTACCAACAGCTTTATTAAGAACTGTATGCCATCCTTCAAAGTGAGTTATAGTCCTGGATCCATCTGTATTAAAGTGATTCCACATATTTCCAATAGGTTAGTATATTATAGTATAGTATAGTCTTAGTAACATTTTGATTGTAGATTATGATATTCTAAATGTTCAAATAAAAATTATTTTTATATTTTGTGTAACTAAAATTTGTCGGCGAATTGGGAAATTTTCCATTTTTACTAAAAACCGGTTACCGCATCGGCGAAGCGAGTAGTCGGCTAATTGGGTGTTGGCGAATCGAGCCTAAACCGTGTCGTCTAGTTAACTAGTTAAAAAATGCAATGATAACGACGGCCGAAACAAGACTGGTAAAATGTGATCCGTCGACTTTTCCATGCGACGCTACAAGTCGAAGTTCGGGTTATCTCCTTCGTCGCGTTATCTGCACATGACTGTTCCCTTATATTCTTCATAAAAATTAAATCGAAAAATTGTTATTTAATATTGTTAACACGTGAGACCCGACGGAAGTATAATTCAAGTATAATTTTTTTTTAAGCCCCTAGACACAATCGGGTGGGAGCTATGAGGAAGAGGAAGCTTGGCCCGTTCAAAAGTTTGTCTAGCCCCTCAAACATTTATCTAAATCTTCACACCAACAGGTACAAATTAAATAGTAAGAGTCATTTACCAAATAAATCTCAAAAAAAGAAAGAAATAAAACCCTAGTTGCGCGTATACGCCTAGACCAAAATCATATTTTTTGAAAATCAAGCAAACCTTATGCCAGTTCCGAACAAATACTCGGACCCTTTCTATGGCACGCATAATAGTCCGTTGGTTCGTTTCCTTCGTGTTTTATATTGTTACGGTTCCGATCGACGGCGATAAACCGTGTCCGCAATGAAACCGTATACCGCAATATATCACAACGGTAATAATATAGTTATCTACGAGTGTGATGTACACGACTTGCGTTCGTCGCAGTGCGATATTTCACGCAAAACGACGTGTGTACGACGATATTCCATGTTTCCGACAAAAGTTCACCTGAACAATATGCAATACCGAAGCGCAACACTCGGACGGAGCACGTCTCGCCTCGCGGATTGCGGTGGAAGTATAGTTTTACTCGTATGCGAACATTTTATCGTGTACACTTTATCATCGTTTCCGTAACTTCTACTACAACACTGCGCGTTGTTGGAAACGAATCGCGCATTGTTCTTTCTACGAGCATTCGAGAACAGAAATCGATGGTAATATGTTTTGAAATACGAGTCGATTCGAGTGTCATTCGACCGTTAATCGGACTTAAATGATGATTTTTTAGTTTTCCGAAGGTTTCGATGACGGCCAAAAAGTCTACTGCTTGCAGTGAACTGAAACTGACCCGTGTGACCGAAAGGAAAAATAAACCACCTCAAACACATAATTTTTTTTTTTTTGTTTCGAACGCCTGTTGATGCATATGAAACCGTATTATTTCATCGGTACTACCGAGTCTTGGACGGTACGTTCCAAGATTTTCGCGCGTGTCGAACCGATGGGTTGTTTTTCGTTTCCGACGCGGTGCGCACGGAACAAACCACGCGTCATATATCTCGTTGTTAATTATTAGTTGTCGGCGCGCGTGAATTTCAAAATATGTCGATAAATTTTGACGAAAATACGGATTCACCTTGAACAAAACCGATGCGCACACGCATGCACGGGCAATCAACGCGTCGGTTTTGAGGAAGCTATTAATTCGTACGGATATAACGACCGTATACATTTCGAAAACGCGGTCCAAGCACGACGCAGTTGAAATAATATGCGCGCCTTCGCTTCACGTATGAAAGTAAAACGCCGCGTAAAACTCTTCCGATCCTCGTTGCATATACACACGTATATTTACAAGCCATTATCAAATGCCGGCTCGTGTTTGAGTATACGCGTGTAACGCATTAATTTATCGACGTGCCTGCGTGCGTGTAGGTAACGTGGTTTTAATTATTGGCTATTGTTTGCGAAACGAAAGTGCGAATGTTCAAAGACGAGTCCTTCGGTTCCAATATTATATTCTGTAAACAAATCTTCTAACGTTTTTACCAGTCGACACGTAATCCGCTAATATCCATCATACGCCCGCCGGTGCCATCCGTAGTAATAATGATGTGCGCTCGATGAGTACATTAAATGACAAGTAAATCACGTTTTTCGCGACGACACGAGTGCGCGTGTTGGGTGTTATCGCACCACAACGAACGGGGGTGCAAGTTTCGTCGGTTGGTGTCGGGTGTACCAGGGCACCAAGATGATATACTTAAACAAACAACCCCCCCCCCAAGAAATATTGTAAATATAGCCCAACGATTTATGTCTACGAGTGGAGAGGCCTGTATTTGAACGGTTGTTTTTCAATGTAATTCATTCTGAAATATTAAGTAAAAATAAATAATACTTCGTGATAGATAAAATAAAATTAAACGTTCGCGGAAAAACTTATCACGATAATATATCAGCTGCAATCGATTACGGAAACGCGAATCATAAATATTTTTAAGCTATACGAGAAAAATATAAAGGATCCGAGGAAAACATATCCATCGGGACTGATATACCATAATATCGGATAAAAAGTTACGTCCATTCGATCGTTTATGCATCATAATCGAATAAATGTACGAACACGTATTGTCAAGACGGGTTTACCGAAAGCACCTCCGGACATACAGGGTGGTCGTGATGTGCGCTACTGCGAAAAACGGCGACCGCGACGGTTCGCAGCGCCAAACAATCGTTCGTGCGCACCAGACGAAAAGTCGACGACTATTGGTGCGCGGTGAACAATAATTAATAATACGCGCGTGCCCGTGACGTGTTCGAGAATTGCAATCGTATAAAAATCGTAAAATTTAAGAACCGATAATGCATTTGATGTGTACACTCGGCACCGGGTAGTTCGCAGCGAATGGGTTTTAATTGATTTGCCGGCGCGTGAGATCGAATTTCGATCGCGTCATCTCGAACGGGCAACGGCCGAGGCGTTTAACAAGGATTTTCGTTTCGCACGGGCTAGACGACGGCCAACAATGGAAGTCGCACGCGCGTCGTGCAAAACTCGGTGCGGACGTTGTTTTACGGTCTCGCGGTTGTTTGTTTTATCGTTTTATATTTGTTTCGTCGTTCGTACAATAATTATTGTTTATTTAATTATTTTATTTTATTTGTTTATTTTACTTATTTAGAATTCAACGGGACTAGCCCTTTTACAAAATCGAATGTGGTGTATAGACCAATGATTTAAAGAAAAAAGTAATTACAGAATATAATAATAATTATTAAGTACAACACTAAGTAATACTGAAAAGTATATAAATATATAAGTATACAAATAATTAAAAATATAGAGTATATAAAAACATAAAGAAATCACTGATTGACGAGGACTAAAATTAAAATTATAATGTTTCTTTTAAAAACATAATTGACTTAAATCTGAAAGTATCGCGAGTAGTATTGAAAAAATATAAGGCGATGGAGACTTAATTAGCAAGTTTCAGAGCTATAACAAAAAACGAGTCGCTACTCGATTTGGATTTGAAGAATGGGATGACAAAAATATCATGGTTTCTCGAGTAGAAGGAGGGAATATGGAAATTGACATGAGCTAGAAGCTCAGGGCTTACAACATTATAGTTTAGCAAGTCGTATACGAACATGATATAAAATAGCTGACGTTTTAATCAGAGGGAGTCTATGCTTTGTAAATTTTGAACTGGCATAATAAAATCTTTAGAAATGGGTAAGTTTTTCATATGGGCAATTATTTTTAAGAATTTAAATTAGATATTATCTAGATCATGAACATGACTGGATAACGATTGACTCCAAATTAGTGATGCATATTCAAGAACAGATCGTACAAGGGAGCGATATATATATATATATATTTAAACGCGGGCCGTAACGTTCGTTATCGCGTAACCGTTATTCATGTGTCGTGTGTTGCGCAACAGTGCACGTGGCCGGACGTGCGATGCGACGCGACGCCGAAACAGAATTGATCGACGTTGTTTTTTATTTATTTTGTTTTTTTATCTCGACTTAACGCGTTCGGCCGTAGACGCGGACGGTTTCCGTGTGGGTTAAAAATAGTCACCGGCGTGTGCTTGCGACCCGTAGGCGGCGTCGATAAAGTTATGGGAAAAGTGTTTCGCGCGTGCGATCCGCAAGTGTCTCGAGGAGGCGGTACGCGTGCCGATCCGAAGCGTCGCTGCAAACCATATACTACGACCACGTTCGAATAAGAAAAATACACGTGCGCGCACCAGACCCCATTCTAAGGATCATTACCTTAAACCTTTTAATCGCCCAAAAACACTGAAAAGTTTGTTTTACGAAATTTATTCGGATTATTATACATATCTAAACTCCTTAAATAAATTGTATATTGATGTCTTAGAATATTTGACCATCGCGCGGTAAAAAATATTAAAAAACTATGCAGCGGCTGAACATTTCGGCCCGGGAAATTACCAAATGAGTATCCAATAATAGTAATTTTCCATAAAAGTCTCCTTTATTCATGGATTAAATGCTTGTAGAATTGTTTACATCACGTTTACACTAGGTTTTTATTACAATCTTACGATTAAATTCATTATTTTTATAAAATAACTAGCTAATCCGACAAACGTTGTTTTATTATATTAATTATTTCTAGAGAATATTTTGCTAGAAAAAAATAACTAATTTAATATAGGCGTGTAAGGATATGGTATATAAATGGAAGAGGTATGGAGTACTGTGAACGGTGACGAAATATAAATAAAAAATCAAACATTTATTTTTTTAATAATTTGTTAAAACTGATCCATTAAAATCATATATATTGCTAATTATGATAATATTAGTAAAAAATAATATCAGTCCCTTAATGCAACAGGGTGTGCGATATTTTTTGTTATCACATCTTTCGCCAAAACAAACAAACTGGATAGTTCGAGAGCACGCCACGTACATTTTCCTTGTGAAAAACATGATGAGCTCAAATCTAAGTCACAGACAGACATCGTTTGGTATTGAAACTTATTGATAGTTAT